GTATTAACATAATTTAATTTAATGTAATGTAATGTAATGTAAGTATGTATGCACGTACGTACGTATGTATGTATGTAATGTAATGTAATGTAATGTAATGTAATGTAATGTAATGTAATGTAATGTAATGTATATAATGTATGTAATGTATGTAATGTATGTAGTGTATCTAATGTATGTATGTATGCATGTTATGTTTTGCAATGTAATGTAATGTAGTGTAGTGTAGCGTAGTGTGGTGTAGTGTAGTGTAGTGTAATGTATGCATGCATGGATGGATGTATGTATGTATGTATGTATGCAACGCCCCAGACATATGACACATATGATCATTGCTTCGGGTTGCAAAATGATGACCTTTGGGACTCTCGCAGAGCTCTTTCGCGAGGAGTGTCTGAGTGAAGCGACGACTACGAGTTCAGGACGTGGTCTTGAGCTGGAATTTGGAGATGATTGAAGTTGCTCGGCCGTGATTTTGGATTGGGGCAGGAGTTTCCTTGTTTCGGGGCTTGAAGGGGTCATTTTTTTGTTTTTTGCGGTATTCATATATTCTTATTATCATTTTTTTGCTCTTATTTATTGTTATTATGAAGTCTTTTTGGAAGGATGGGATGGTTGTTCCTGACTTTTCGAAAGTTTATCCAAAATGGTGGGTCGCGAAAGTTTCACCTTTGGTCCGTTACTGTGAGGCTTGTCAAATGTCTTCCGCGGCGGAAGCAGAAGATACTCCAATTGTTTGTGGGTAAAACAATGTCATAAACCACCTCATTTTTGATGGTTTAATTTATACCACCTATAGGAATGGTGACGACTGGGGGATGGTTTATGAACTTGTTTTAACCGCATTACTTGGTTTATTATTCTGCATCAATGGAGAATAAAAGGATAATCAAAGGGATTATGGTCATCAAACTATTCTTAATCATGGTTTAATTGGTTTATTATTCTTCATCAATGATAATCAAAAGAGCTATGTAAAATGAGGTATACCCAATAGTAAACTATCCCCAATTCGGGTTGATTATTGGGTACACCCCTAGCAATGGGATGATGCAAAATCATTAAAATGACCTCCAAATTGTAGCTGCATCGCGCATTAAAATCTCCTGCATGGCGGAGCCCCATTGGTTTAAGGGACAATTTACCGGAACCTCCCAAATACTTCGGAAAACCCAAAGAGTTTCCGGTTACGTGGTTGAATTCTCGCTGCCATGTTCTCTTGAATCATCAGAGACAAATTGAGACGACCTGAGACGAACACATCATCCATGGTTCATCGATCATGGCATCCAGTCTGGTACCAATTCTGAATCCGTGTCGTCATGCCATGCAATAATTGCAATGATCAGAGTCAAATGATATGGCTGAGTCTGAAAATGGGGGCCCTATCCCCAAATAGCTATTCTAATTATTAGGGACAATTCTGATAATCCAATGGATTTAGGGGACACTATATTTTCAAGCAAACCCATAATAGATAGTTGGTAGAACAGTGAACAATACATATCTATACAGTAACATTCGGTAGCCAGCAAGGGTACATTAAATGTCATGAACAAAAAGCAAGGAAGTTTGAAACTCACCAAATAGCCGTGGATACCTTCAAAAAGATCCGTTGTTCTCAGGTCCCAAAAGCAAACATCGGGATCTCTTGGTCCTTTCTGAGCGACGTTGTCTACCTACATATCTATCTATCTATCTAAATCTAATCTAATCTAATCTAATCTAATCAATCCTAATCTATCCTAATCTATCCTAATCTATCCTACTCTACCTACCTACCTACCTATCTATCTATCTACCTACCTATCTTTCTACCTATTTACCTATCTATTTACCTATCTATTTGCCTATCTATCTGTCTAATCTATCTAATCTATCTAATATATCTAATCTATCGAATCTATCGAATCTGTCTAATCTATCTAATCTATCTAATCTATCTAATCTATCTAGTCTATCTAATCTATCTAATCTATCTAATCTATCTAATCTATCTAATCTATCTAATCTATCTAATCTATCTAATCTACCCTACCCTACCCTACCCTACCCTATCCTATCCTATCCTATCCTATCCTATCCTATCCTATCCATCTATCTATCTACCTATCTACCTATCTATCTTACTTACTTTCTTTCTTACTTACCTACCTATCTATCTATCTATCTATCTTACTTATCTATCTTACTTATCTATCTTACTTATCTATCTTACTTATCTATCTTACTTATCTATCTATCTATCTACCTATCTACCTATCTACCTATCTACCTATCTACCTATCTACCTATCTACCTATCTACCTAACTAACCAACCAACTAACTAACTAACTAACTAACTAACTAACTAACTAACTAACTAACTAACTAATCTATCTATCTTACTTATCTATCTATCTAACTTATCTATCTATCTACCTATCTTCTCTATCTATCTTACTTATCTATCTATCTAACTTATCTATCTATCTATCTACCTATCTTATCGATCTATCTTACTTATCTATCTGTCTATCTATCTATCTATCTATCCATCCATCTATCTATCTATCTATCGACCTATCTATCTATCTATCTATCTATCTATCTGTCTCTCTCTCTCTCTCCCTCTCTCCATCTATCTATCTATCTATCGATCTATCTATCGATCTATCTATCTATCTATCTACCTATCTATCTATCTATCTACCTATCTATCTATCTATCTATCTATCTGTCTCTCTCTCTCTCTCTCTCCCTCTCTCCATCTATCTATCTATCTATCGATCTATCTATCGATCTATCTATCGATCTATCTATCGATCGATCTATCTATCTATCTATCTTTTCCATCCTAATCCTGATCCTAATCCTAGTCCTTATCTATTCCAGCCCTAATCCTACTCCTAATCTATTCCAATCCTAATCTAATCTAATCCCATAATCCTAATTCCAATCCTAATCCTAATCCTAGTCCTAATCCTAATCTAACCTAATCCTAATCTCTATCTATCTCTATCTATCTCTCTCTATGTCTATCTATCTCTATCTATCTCTTTCTATCTCTTTCTATCTCTATCTATCTCTATCTATCTCTATCTATCTCTATCTATCTCTATCTATCTCTATATATCTTTCTATCTATCTATCTATCTTTCTATCTATCTTTCTATCTATCTGCCTATCTATCTACCTACCTATCTACCTACCTATCTGTCTATCTATCAATCTATCAATCAAACGATCTATCTATCTACCTATCTATCTCTCTATCTCTCTATCTCTCTATCTCTCTATCTCTCTATCTATCTCTCTTTATCTCTATCTATCTCTATCTATCTCTATCTATCTCTATCTATCTCTATCTAGCTCTATCTATCTCTATCTATCTCTATCTATCTCTATCTAACTCTATCTACTTTCTATTTTTTTGGCCCCTTTTGGAATGTTTCCCAAACTGTGCAAGTTTGGGTTTTCTGGGGCCAGCTGCCAAAAAAGTCATGTGAAATTTCCGGACGTAGTCATGTGAAATGGCAAACGGAGGATTCCGTTACGGGCGTTATACTATGTTATGCTATGACAAGCGTCAGGGAAACGCTTAAACTCTTTGTGGGCCTGTCAGTTGTTTTTGACTCACTAGTTCAAGGGCCAAAACCATGAAGCCAGATCTGTGGCGGCAATGGGCACAATCACGCATAGTACACGCAGACCCTGAGCTGACCTGGAACCCTTCCATCCTGGAATCTTGAAAGCTTTGAACCTTAATCCTCCAACTCTGAACCAAATTAATTCCAACCTTGGAACTACGTCCTGGGACCTTCCAATGCCGAAACCGTACAAGCGCTTGCGTATGGCTAGAAGGCATTTGAGAAGCTGTCGAGATGTCATAATCTCAATAAGGCTTATTAAGGGATATCCATCTTGGGCCCAAAAATACTTCCTTTTTTGGAGCGCATCCAGCTTTCCAGAGCAGTTTCCTTAATAAGCCTTAATTAGTTTTTCACCTAGTGTGCCCAAAGTGTATTTCTTATTGGTGCCTTATTAAGGCCCATTTTCTCTTAATAAGCTCGTGCACTCTTGCACTGTTCACCGGAACCAGTGGGAAACCTTAGCAGGCATTATTAGGCCTTATTAAGGCTTGGTAAAGTCTACCAGTGCATTGTGCATTGTGCGCGTTTGTGCCCATTGTCGCCAGAAATCTGGCTTAATAAATCTGACCCCCGGAAACAATGATCCTATGACTCTCCGTGTCTCCGTCTATCTGTCTATCTCTCTCTATGTCTATCTGTCTCTCTGTCTCTCTGTCTCTCTGTCTTTCTGTCTCTCTGTCTCTCTGTCTATCTGTCTCTGTCTCTGTGTCTCTCTGTCTATCTGTCTCTTTGTCTCCCTGTCTCTCTGTCTCTCTGTCTGTCTGTCTGTCTATCTGTCTATCTGTCTATTTGTCTATCTGTCTATCTGTCTATCTGTCTGTCTGTCTATCTGCCTATCTGTGCTATGTATGTTTGTTTTTTGTTCTCCCTGTTTCCCCGGTTTTCCAAAAGGGATCAATATCCTTTACGAAAATCGATGGGTCGTAGCAGCCTCGGCCCAGACAGCTTTGTTTTCTGAAGGACACCTTTTCAGTGTAATTATTTCCCACTGGCTTGCGCAACCCTGGTGTTTTGAGAGTCCTAGAAGAAATTTACTCAGGCTCATTGACTTCGCAGTTGACAGGTGAGATCCCCAAAGCAACATGGATTTGCAGGGTTTCAGTACATTTTTTGGGTGGGCCAACTATTTGGGAGTCGACCCCTTGTTCAAGCACTGTTTTTCAAGTGTGACCCACCTATCTTTAGATATATATATATACATACATATTTTGATAGCATTTTGTAGCAACATATATTTTGTGCCTCTTTTGGGGTGGTCCCGCCGGCAAGGCTATCCTGATGCATGTGACAGCATGTTTTTATTTTTTCGGACTTCCAGGGCGTGGCAAGAGGGGACAAAGGCCACTGGCATAGATGTTGTTCATTTTCCTGTTGAAGTAAGCCATCCTATGTTAGGGCACCCCATGGCTATGGCTGTTTTTTTTTGACATCTGACACATGCTGCTGAGTTCATGGATTTTTTTTTCCGGTCTTTGGGCAAACTGAGTTCCCCAAGTGTTGCTGTGAATATATTGGCACAAGGACTTAGTGATGATCAGTTCCTCAACCATCGATATCTGAAGCTATCCCCCAGTGGTTTACAGCAAGGATTACCAGGACCAGGTTGGGGATCATCTATGTCTATATGAGTACCCTCGGCGATCAAACATGGTGCCTGGCTTTTTTTTTTTCTGACTCTAAATGGGCATTTGAACGGGAAAATCATCTACAGATCTATCCAGTGGTGACGGAGCAGTTTGGAGCTGGGTGCATCCCAAGCCCATGATAGAAGCCCATGATAGAGATGGGAATTTTCTATTGCCATGTTTGATCGCCGAAGGGTATGTGTTTTTTTCTAAAATCGACTTGTGCAATGGGAATACTATGGATTTATGAAATCATGTTCAGTGGTCTAGATTCCCGAGTACCCTGTGAGCATTCCTGCTTCCATTCCTGATATTTTTCGCTTGGCATTGTGACGTTTCTTCTCCAACTTGGCCGGCACCAATGAAGTCTTGACCAGATTTGAACAATCTATGTATTTGATATTGAGTCAAGAGAAACATTGCAATCTTCCACTTCTCAATGTTCTATTTCCAGAGCTGCAACCATCCGTGCTCACTTGTTCTGCATACCAGCCTTTCCATCCCTCTATAGCCTCGTACCATGCATCGCTCGCGTTGTAGCGACCATGAAATGATGTGAACATATATATATACATATACATACACATACACACACACACATATATATATATATTTTGGGGCCTGCCACCGGAACACGTCGCATGCCGATGCCAAGCTCTCTGACACCCTCTGTCCCAATCGTAATGGGCGTTTGGATCATGGCTGGATGGGCGGAATTGTGATGTGGACTGCCCCTGAACGCTTCAGCCCACATCAGCAAATCGTAAAGGTCCACGATCCTTGCTCTCCATCATTCTCAAGCTTCTCAAAGCTTACATCATCTTACATCCCCATTTTGATATGTAGTGTCATATATCATATGGATGTAGTATTTACAGATGACTACATATATTTAATATACATTCATATGTATCCGCTTCTGTTGTTTTTTTACCATTTTACCGGCACTCCTAGAACTTCTGTTGGTTCATTCCCCATTTTTTCTGAATAGATATCAGTGATTTCCCCTGGTTTTCATGGATTTCCGACCCCTCCAGCCCTCTGCGGTCGGGATAAAGAGGGATTGTCTCTCAGCAGCAGTCGCGACTGAGATGGCCATGATGACGTGATGCCATAAATCCCCAAAAGCGCCAAAATGGATGGTATATACCATCCCCAAATGGTAGGATTATCATTGGATTTCCCACATTGTTCCGGTTTTATCTTATATATATTTATATATATATAGTATACACTGAAGGTTTCGGCTTAGTGCCCCAATTGTGCCCTGGGGTTAGCTTTCCGTTTGTAGCGGTGCCGATTTCCTGAGTGGGTCCTTCTCGGTGTCGTGACCCACGGGCTTTTCCGGGCCTTGCAACGTGGTTGAACTGGTTCGCCCTCTGCCGCTTTGCTCTACGGAACGTGCTCTGCATTCCCGCGGGGGGTCTGCATCACCTTGGTGCCTTGGTTCCACAACTGCCTGGACAAGACTTTGTCTACTTCCTCCAGTTTGTGTACCTTGGGCAATCAGCATATTTTTTCCCTGCATTTCTGGGTTCTGCGGTGGCCCCCTTACACCGTTGTTGATATCGTATTTCAATTTTGGACTGTTGGGCTCTTGGTGCTGGTGCCATTCCATCATTTGCCTTTTCCCTTGTGTATGATCGGGTGGTTTGCCTGCATTCTTTGCTTTGGCCATTATCACTCCTACCAAGCGGCGAGCTTTGAGAAGGAAAAGGGCGCGTGCAAGACTCAACTGGTTCCTTTTCAGGAAAGGTCATTTACCCCTCTCCAATTACTCCCTGAGTTCCATCCGGGACTGTTTGAGTTCTCATCACAGTCGAGATCCGAGATTTCTAGCTGCAATTTCCAGAGCAATGTCAACTGGTGCGAAGATTTCACCTTGGCGATGCCGATTTTGCAAGCGTCACAACAAAGGTACGGCCGCCTTTTGTGGGCAATGTGGACGACATTGGGAGCGATGTCAAGACACGGAGTTTGTCTACTACCACTCATGGGAGAAAGATGGTCAGCGGCAGCGTTCAGTCTCTCAGAAACAGTGGCCTGCGACGCCCAGACAGCGTTTGCACACGCCACAGTCCAGACATGGGGATGCTCAGCCCAAATCTACCAGGCGGAAGAAAGCCAAGGCGAAGGCAAAGTCTCAAGTCACGCCTCAGGCAGATCCAGCCTGGAATCGACATACCCCACAGACTGGTACCAGCTCTTCGCAGAATGCGACCAGCGGAGCAGCTCAGACTGCTGTGGATCCCAAAATGAAGATTCTGTTAGCGGCTTTGAAGAAGAACGAGAGTACTCTTCCAACCGATGTGCAGAGCTTACTACAGGATGTCTCCACAGCAAATGCGCAAGCAGACACCAAGACCATGCATGCAGCAGTGGCCAAACATGGACAAGCTCGCAAGAAGTTGCAAGAATTGAAGGCTTCAAGAGCTCAATTACATCGATCCTGGTCTTCTTATGTGGCAGAGGCTGTGGATCGTTGGAAGAAGAATCTGGAGAATTTCACTGCAGAGGATGCAGATCTGGAAACTCAGATTACAGAAGCTTGGGAGAATGTCCAGATGGCCAAGGCGCACATGGAAACTATCAAGACAGCCATGGAAGAGATGGAATCTGGTGGTATCGACCTCACCAACGAATCCGACGAGGAGACCATGGCAGAGAAAACAGAGCCTGCTGCCACCATCAAGGAAGGTATGCAATCTATGGCAATGAACTTAGAAGCATTGAGCAAGAAGGCGGAAGAGATGGTGCAAGAATCAGCTCCCAAGAGACCTCGTACAGCAGATCCTGGGGAGCATTTTGCCCAGCCCGGCAAGTAGACTCTTTGCGAGAAGCTTGTCGAGGGCTTGCAGCTCTACGGCCTAGCTCGGTTGCTAAATGGACTCATTCTGCAACATATAAGCCAACCTTTGTCAGTGTGTGGAAGGCAGTGTGGAGAGCCTTTGAACTCTCACATCAGCTGGGTGCTCCGTTGGGTACAGGAGTGACCAACGCAACCGACGAGGTGGGGGCAGGTGTGCAGTCTTTCCAGCGGCATTTTGCTGCAAATTCAGTTCCAAAAAGAGTGCATTTTGCCAATGAAGTTGAATTGCTCCTTGGTGATGAGGATGCCCTTGATATGCTACGATTATGTATGCCTTCTCAAACTTTACAAAATTGGCCAGAGAAACCCTGGACAATCAAAAGCGAATCTGGACTGCCTGATGAACCGCTGTCAGAAGTGGCCGTGTCGATCTCGGCAGTTCCAGAGGTTTCACAAACCAATGATCCCTTTTCGCAGGACCATTTGCAAGACCTGCTGCTTCCTCAATTTGAAGCTCCAGTGCCTGAATGGAATGGTGAGGAGGATGATGGATACTCACCCTCTGAATATGATCCCAATGTTCATGAGCGCCATACGTCAGATGATGAAGTTTCCACAGAGTCAGATGAGCCTGAGGAGCCTGATCCAGGGCCTGTCGAAAGGCACCACCCAGCTCAAGTAGAAGATTTGCAGCATGTCATGGTGTACCGGTTACAACATGTACCTCAACATCTCCTTGTTGATTGGGGAAGTTATGAAAGGTTGGTACTTCACCTGGCGGAACTTGTGCATTTGAACAGACATGATGTCGTTGCTGTCCACAGTTTGGTAGTTGTGCCTATAGGACAACCTATCCATAGTGAGGGTGTTATCTTGCAGCATGTAGATGACATACCTTTGGGACAACCGGATCAGTTAATCCTAGTTGATATCAAGACATTTGCCTCAGTTTGGGAGGTTGGATCTGAACGACCACCCACTGTTGACAGACAAGTTTGTCGTGCGCAACCAATTTTAGCTCGTACTCAATTTCTGGAGTTGGTCAGAGTTGGACGGTATTGCCAAGCAGAGAGAGACAGATGCCTTGTCTTTCACAATGGAGAGCCATGGTCCCTGCAAGAGGCCCAGCCTCGTAGGTTTGCCCATGGAGACTATGTTGAAGTTCTCTTGCCTCCTCCTGAAAAACTGCGAGAGCCTACGTCCGTTGCGGTTTGGCTTCGTGAACAACAACTGTCTCCTGCGGATATCCGCAGATTCAGAAATGCAGCTGTAGGTGGAAACCCTAAACGGCCGAAACTTCATCATTCCTCTGAGGAGCAGACTCAACAGCCCCCTGAGCTTGAAAGGGCTGTTGTTGCTGAGCCAGTTGATTTCCCAGTTCGTTTGCTTGAGATTGCGAGACATGATGAGCTTTTGCATGCCTTGCATACTGCCTGGGAACAAGAAGCCAGAACTGATCCAACAAATGATGAAGCCTTTTTGCATGTGCAGACCTGGTATGTTGATCAAATTGGGCGACCTAGGTGTTATGACTCCAGAAGGGTTAGGTTAGGACGTGATCCGAGCATTTGGATTCGCAGGATTGTCGAAGCTTGGAGTGACACAGTTGATGTTGCAGTTACATTGCATCTGCATCCGATTTTTCCACAACCTGATGTCACCGGCAGTAGACCTCTGCGAGACTTCCATCTTTTGCTTTTGCAACGACCCATTCCAGGAGTGAGCTCTATTATGATCACGACACTTGATTCTGCAGCGCCAAGTGTAGGAGTTGTCCCTTTTGTTACTTCTTCACATGAAATTGTGACAAAAGAAAGCCTCATCCGTACAGGTGGGATTGAGGACTTGTGTCTCCCTCAGCGCTCAGATTTGCAGTGTATGGTTTGGTTTGGAGATACTGAGATTCGAGAACCCATGAATGTGCTTGCGAGAC